TTAGGGCCCCATTAAAACCCTATTATCCACTATTACAGGGAGGGGGCCCCTTCTAAGGTAGACCAAACATACAAGGCCAAAGACTTCAAACTTCTGCCAGTGGCTACGTAAGTCGTTGGCTATGAACCCTACGAACTCTATGTGCCCTATAAACCCTACAAACCCTATGAACCCTATTAAAGCCCTGTAAGCCCTATAAACCATATAAACCCTACAAGTGAAACCCCGGGGACTTGCTTCTAAGTTAGGCTTTCTGGCATGTGTACATTGTTAGGGGTTGGGTCTACCGCTTTAGGGGTTAAGGGTTTAGGGTTTAAGGCGGGGTTTGGGGCTTAGGTTGTAGGCTTTAGGAGTTCCGGCTTTAGTGCCATAGACTTTATTTTTTGTGCTTAAATCTCGCACCGAGACTGTCTCTTTTCGTGGGCTTAGGGCTTTGTGCGCCAAAAGCAAGCGGGTTTAGAGTTCAGGGTTTAGGGTTAAGCCCCACCTGGCCATGCTCGACTCCAACCATAGCGCATTGGGGCAAGAATGGAAGCTCCCCTATGGGCTCGCACTAGCACACTGATCCAGAGACTCCAATACTATCCCCTACTTGACTTAGGGGCCCCCCGGTTCCGTAAACGTTGCACGATCTATACTGCAGGCTTGTACCAGTTACCAGTGTTCCTTAAATGAACCCTAAACCCTAAACCCTGGAGTCTCTTTCAATGGGGTCAACGTGACCTTGCCACTCAGGGCACGAGGAAGTTGCATGTAGGGGTCCCCTCGATGCAACGGTGTTGCACCCTCTGAAGGCTTCGCACCCTCTGAAGGCTTCGCGCTGCCGTTTCGTTGATCTGTAGGCTTCTTTAGTGCGGTAGCAGCAAGAACCTTAACCATACACATGTGTCTTAAAGTAGCAAGCGAGTGAGGGATGCAAAGAGTATGTCTGTGCATGTCGGGGTCACGTTGCTTCTGGTACGGCGTGTTGTCTCGGCCCCTGGCTCAGCATCAAGTTCTGCGGAGTTGAACGGTACGTCACTGCACTCTACCACACTGCAACCATCACAACACCTTCCTCTGCCGCACAGCATCAGGCTGTAATATGCTGTGCCAACCGGCTGTGCTGGGCGATGCCATGCTGAAAACCAGTGAATATGATAGTATGACGAACTTTGACCACAAAAGTTAAAAACCAAAAAAGATGTATCTGTGCTGCGATGCAATTAAGCTTCTTCGCTTGTTTATACTCATGTATATGTATATGCAGATATCTGTATAACTTTCCATGTAAGTGTCTGCCTGCGTGTGTGTAAGTATGCATCTACGCTCCAAAGAAAGCCGGGCATGGATGCATGCAAGCGTGTTTACGTGCATGTGTGTCTGTATTCATGCATGTACACATCATGCCTGTATGTTTGCACACGCACGTAGCTATGTGCAGATACTGTACTTCTCCTCTTGCCTGGCCGGTTCGTAGGACATGCTGGTGTCCCCAAATGCGCGGCCGTATGCGCATGCATATGAATATGCATGCTTATGTGTACATGTACCTGTGTGTGTGTATACATGTGTATATATATATATATATATATATGCTTATTTGTTTATCTTTTTTTGTACATGCATGCATGTGCACGCATGTGCACACGTTGTAGGTTTGTGCATGTATGTACATGTGCGCGTAAGTGTATATCTATATGTACGTATGCCTGTGCGCGCGCGTATGTGTGTATGTATGTATGTATGTATGTATGTATGTATGTACATACGCATGCAAAATATGCACATGCTATGCGTTTATGTATGTATGTATGTATGTATTTACATTAAAGTAGATGACTATCTATGTGGACTTATGTCCTGGTATGCTCATGACGTAAGTTCGTGCAAGCGCATGTCAATGAGAGTTTCGCCATACCACGTCGGACACGGGCGGCTACTGTCTTCGAAACCAACAGCACTTCCAGACACCCCAAAATTCAATGCACCTAAACAAACACAAGGTTGTGTATAAATCATCCGCAACTCGTGTAAGCCGATAAAAGAGGGATATGGGTTTGGCAGCTGCTGATTCTTGACTGTGCCTGTGCTAGACGGACTGAGTAAACTCAGGAAACAACCCCTCAATTTCAATCCCTGAACCCTTGAAGCACAAACCCCAAGCCCCACCCCTACTGGAGTGCCTCGCCCTCACGAACTGCAGCCCAAGAAGCGTTCAATACCGAGGCTGCGATAAGTGGACTAAGGTCTTGGGGTATGCTGTGTCTACGTACGTCGGGATCACAAAGGGGCGTTTTTCCATGGCCCAAGCCCCTGGAGGGACCCTTGATGGGGACCCCTACCCTATAATGGGCTATATAATGGGTATATAATAGCTATATTAAGGGTACATACCTAGGGGTCCTTATTAAGGGTGCCTCCTTTAGCATTGCAACAGCTGCGCATCTCAAGGCAACTCTTTTCCATCTCTTCGCATTGGCTCAGCTTGCCCTACTACATTTCCCAGAGACTCCAATATCCCTTGTTTCAACAACTCTAAACCGTAAAACCCCTAGGCCATGCAGAGCTCTTCGGTCTCTGGGGATGTCAGAGTCTCTGGAAAGCTTAGAACACCCCTCACCCCTTAACAATCTTCGATGCCCTGTCGCAACATGAACATCATCAAACCCTAACCGAAAACGTCTCTAGGTTCAATTATACTAAGGAGGTATTCACCTCAGTATGTCCGCGGCTGTGGCTTTGCAGCCTTACCTGAGCAGCACGGAACATCATCAAGCCACGAGCCCTGAAGCCCTGTAGCTTTAAGCCCTGATCCTTAAAGGGATCTATAGGGTTCCTTAAAGGGATCTATAGGGTTCCTTAACGGGATCTATAGGGTTTAGGGTTTAGGGTCCACTTGGAGGATCATGGGACTTAGTAAGTAAGGCTATAAGTACCCTAAGAGGGGTTATAAGTATTTATAGGTGTAGTTACCTTAGATATAACCCTAGTTACTAAGTCCCATGGCCCTCTGAGTAAAGCTCTCAGCTTTGGGCTCAGAACCCTGGACCCTGCGCCGCGAAACCTCTGTCCTGGAACACCGGAACCGAAGGAGCTCGAGGGTTTGGGCTTCGGCTCAAGGATTTCAAAGTCGGTTTAAGGCCTTGGGTTTGTGCCTTGAGTGTCTAGGTTGCCTAAGGCTTTTAGGCTTTAGGGTTCAGGGTTTTCTGAGTAGGATTTGCGATTTAGAGTTTGGTTGGGGTTTCGGATTTAAGGCTCGGCTGCAGGATGCAGGGTTGGGGAACACAGCTACACTGAGGGCCCCACATTCCATGACGACTGAGTAAAGTCTCGAAGTCGCGAAACCTCGGCATGTCGTGCCTAAGCCTTACCTCGGAATTTATGGTTACAGTTTGGGGTCTAGGGCTTTGGGTAGTGCAAGCCGGTCGTTTCAAAACGATTCAGTCTTCGATGACATTTCTAGGATCCCTCGATCAGCACCCTTGTCACGGAGAAGGCGTCTTTTCATGAGAGGTTCTACATGAGCGGTTCTCAAAATTATGGTCCCTTGTTGGGAACTTATTATAATACGGCGCCTATTATTTAGGGTACCCAACAATTTTGACAGCCACCAACATGGTAACCCTCCCAGCGGATTCGGCATTTCAACCATCCTCGACCTGCGATCCGAGAGTACAATGTTTTGCAGTTTAGGTGTTTAGGTTTCAGGGTTTAAGGTTTAGGGTTCAGGGTTTAGGGTTTAGGTTTTAGGGCTTAGGATTTAGGGGTTTACAGTTTAGGTTTTAGGGTTTAGGGTATGTTGTGGGAGCTTGCGCCTCGGAGAAAAGCCCTGGCTCTGTTGCAACCGACATCTGCACCCACTCCAAAAAGCAAAACCCTGTACTAAACTGCAAACCCCTACGAACCCTTTCAAACTGTTACGCTTGGCATGCAGTCTTGTGCATTCTGCCATTCAGTGGCTTTTTGTTAGGATTGCTTTCAGAGTCAAGGGTTGGGAATACAAGTGGTTGAAGAGTTAAACCCTAAACCCTGAACAGCAAACCCTAAACCCTAAACCCTAAAACCCTAAAACCCTAAACCCTGCATCTTTCATCCCCTGGCGGTCGAAGGGTCTGAAACTAGGGCCTAGAGGTCTAAGGGGTAAGGGGTTTAAGGTTTTGGGCTTAAAATGGATCCTGCCGAGTCTTGCCGGTTTTTTGGCTTTACTTAAGGATCATGGGACTTCGTAACTAGGGTACCGGTTTTTTTTTGGGCTTTACTTAAGGATCATGGGACTTCGTAACGAGGGTTAAACTTAGTTTAGAGTAACCGTACTTATAACTACTTATGACCCCACTTAGGGTACTTATAACCTTACTTACTGAGTTAAGGATCCCTTTAAGGAACCCCCAAAAGGATCCCTTTAAGGAACCATACTCACAAACCCCCATGTCCCTCCAGCCCTAAACCCTAAACCCTGAACCCCCAACCCTGAACCCTAAACGCCTGAACCCTAAATCCGAAACCCCTAAGCCCTGGTCTAAGACCAGGACAGATCCGATCGGTCGTGGCCGAAGATCAGGCTTGCCTCCCTCAAGGTCTCCTGGAACATGGGGCTTAGAGTTTCAAATTCCCTTTAAGGGTTCGTTAAAGGGGTTTAGGTTTTAGGGTTTAGGGTTTAGGGTTTAGGGTTTTGTTGATGCGGTGAGTCCCAGCCAGTTGAGAAGTTTGATGTGTGCAGTTAGCAGCTTGAGCGAACTGTCTGCATGTATGTGTGATCAAGGGAAGGCTGCGGTATGTTCCCCTTGGGTCACCATGCGAACAGTTTTTTACACGTACAGCCGGCAAGAGCTGTAGCAAAGACAACGAAGCATAGCATCTTGTACACTTAACTATGCTCAGACTTTGCAGTCACAGATTTGTGTTTAGCGGAAAAAGAGGTGTGCGCTTGCATTTGAAGTCATGGCCGCCTACAATTCGAGTGATGCAGCTTTGCATCAGCAGGTTATGAGCCCAAGCTCAGCCGACTGCGCGACTGAATGGGACAGAGGGGCCGCAGAGAAGCGGCCGTGAGGGTGGACGTGGATCCACCGGAAATGCAGCCCCGAGAGCGGAGGGAACGAGTGCTGGACGTGAGCCTCTGGTCAGTTCGGAGGTGTCTCAGCCCCTGGATGCTCCGGCGACTTCTGCGAGTCGACCACCGGCTTCAATGGAGGCCACAGCCACGCTGGGCCAGGGGGAGGCAATGATGCCACCCACGATTCCTGACATGGGTGGCAGACCTGGAGCTGGAATAGCGGCGGCTGGTGAGGAGTCGACGGCTGCTTATGACTTCTTTACCCCGCGTTCACGGGGAAACGGAATGGCCACCCAGAACAACTGGATGGGCGTCGTGGAAGGATTGCCACGATGGATGAGTCGTTTGGGTTCGTACCTTGCGGTGGGCCACGATCAGTTGGCTCCAAGTCCTCTCACTGGAGAGACGCCTCCTGGCGGAAGGTCTTTCGTACTGAGATCTCCGCAAAGGGCAAGACCTTTGACCTTGCCACGACCGAGTAGTCCTCCTTCGAGCTCGGTGCCGGCAGAAGCAATACAACAGGAGGTGCAGAGACAGCTTTCTGGGATTCGGGTATTGCTGGAGGAGTCGGAGGGCCGTAACCAACAGTTGCAGCGTGAGTTAGATGAAGTTCGGAGAAGTCGGGATGCTTTGAGGGCGGCCCCTACGCTGCCTCCAGGGTATCCATACATGTCAACTCCAGCATTTCCTGGAGGGCAATCAGGTCCCGGCGGGCTGTTGGGTGATCCCGCGCCAGTTCCATCAGGCTTTGGAGGGCAATCAGGTCCTGGCGGGCCATTAGGTGATCCTGCAGCTGCTCCATCAGGCTTCGGAGGGCAATCAGGTCCTGGCGGGCTATTAGGTGATCCTGCAGCTGCTCCATCAGGCTTCGGAGGGCAATCAGGTCCTGGCGGGCTATTAGGTGATCCTTCAGCTGCTCCATCAGGCTTCGGAGAGCAATCAGGTCCTGGCGGGCTATTGGGTGATCCGGCAGCAGTTCCATCAGGCTTCGGAGGGCAATCAGGTCCCGGCGGGCTATTGAGTGATCCCGCAGTAGTTCCAGCCCTGGCGGGCTATTGGGTGATCCGGCAGCAGTTCCATCAGGCTTCGGAGGGCAATCAGGTCCCGGCGGGCTACTGAGTGATCCCGCAGTAGTTCCAGCAGGCTCCGGAGGGCAATCAGGTCACGGCAGACTGTTAGGTGATCTTGCTACAGCTCCCCTGGGTCCAACTGGTCACTTCAGCTATGCTGGAGCGCTACGAGAACCTTCTCTACTACGACCCGGTCTTGGAAACCCTCAAGCAAGCTCAGGGTCTGCTATGAGAATGTCACCTAGCCCAGAGAATCCACCTGAGCCTCGAGGTCTTCTACGATCACTGCTTGGAGGCGGAAGAGCTCGCACACCTTCGCCACCACCTCAGGGGCAAACCTCACAGGCCGAGTCTCCAATGTTGGAGGCAATAGCTCGTGGAATGCAACAACTTCAACAACTACAAGCTCAGGCATTGACAAAGGGCACCGGCACGGGCGCGGCTGAGGCGCTGAAGGCGGGAACTACCAGCCTTACTCAGCTCCCCGACCATAAAGGAGGGGCAGAGGCATCACTGCGATTCAACGATTGGTTGGAAATCACTACTACAGCGATGACGGATGTGAGCGAGAAGTCTGGCCAGTGGTGGAATGCAGTGTTGATGGTGGTTCGCGCGGCCTACAACCGATGGTTGGCCGCCTCTCATTTGGAGAGACTGACGATCAGCCCAGAGGGAATGGACGGGCTTTGTGGAGACCCATGGAGCAGGATGAATGCGCGAGCTTGTACAATGTTGCTTGGAGCTATGTCACCGGAGATAAAGGGCGACATGGTGGCGCAGCAGCTGACGCAGCGAGCACCAGCTATGCTGTTCAGACTGTTTGTGTGGTTTCAGCCAGGAGGTTCTGCAGAGCGGCAGGAAGTGTTGAAGCGGCTACAGTCACCCCAGGACTACCTCGTGGGCGACAGCGCTGAGGCTATCCTTGCAGAGGTCAGGAGTTGGCCTCGATGGTTGAGTCGCTGCCGGATGATGGGGATGACCCCGCCGGATCCTTTGGTGATGAGTCGGGGTCTACAGGCCCTCACGGCCAAGCCGATCAATGCATCAACTGACGCGTCGTTCAGAACAAGTATGCTGAGGTCAACATACCGGCTGGATGGGCAACCTACACTGGAACAAGTCCAGGGATACCACAAGCACTTACAGGCGGAGTTGGAGGCGATCGTGGGCTCTCAGCGGACTATGTCGTTGCCTACAGCGGGAGCGGCTTTGAGGGCGGTGGATGGGACGTCGCCTACTACCTCTCCAAAAGGGCCGAAGGGTCGCGAGAAGAGCCAAGAGCTGTGCAGATATTTTTCGAAGCCGAGCGGTTGCAAAAGGGGAGATCGGTGCGTCTACAGTCACTCAATGAGCGGGATGGACAAGGATGTGAGATCTCGCAAATGCTTGAAGTGCGGGAGTGAAAGCCACCGAGCCCGTGACTGCAACGTAGGCAAGCCAGGACAACGACCCAGCCACACGGATAAGCCGCAACCCCCAACTGCGACACCTACCCGGAGCTTAGCTACGATGTCAACAGCTACCTCTATGGGATCCGCGCCTGTGCAAGGTACTCCATGGACACTCGAGACGCTCATTCAGGCCGCCCAGCACGTGATCACCTCGCCATCACCCCAGGAGGGCGACAGTTCGCCAGAGAAGACCAAGGCAGAGGTGAGGGTGCTGAGCTTGAGAGATGTTCGGGTGTCGGCAATGGATCGTTCAACTACGGCGCTCTTAGATTCGGGAGCCACGCACTGTCTGAGGAATGCATATGACGAAAAAGAGTGGCTGGAAGCTGACGAGGTTGTGGTGCAACTAGCTGGGAACAATTCCCTGACGATGAGGCTGAGCGCAGGAGGGTCTTTGTTAATGCCGCCCAGGATACCAGCTACGTCCAGTACAACCCGAGACCTGGGAGGACAAACCATTGTTCCCCTCGGCGAGCTCGTGAAGACCTTGGGGTATTCCTTGGATTGGTCTCAGCGGGGATGCTTCCTTATTGATCCCGATGGTGTGTCTAGATCTCTCGGAGTATGCGGAGGGTGTCCGTTGTTAAAGGAGGCTGAGGCTTTAGCCTTGATCTCCCGACTGGAGGACCGGAAGCGCGAGATGTTGGAGAATGCCACGACAGCGACTCAGGACACCGTGGAGGCAACGGAGATGATGATGAACAAGTCTTGGAAGACTTACCTGAGGTCCTACGTTGCCGATGGAGGAATGGAGGCAGGACTACGTGCGATCAGGGATTGCCCCATGCTGTCAGAGCTACCAGGAAACTGCGTTGATGGTCTTGTTCAGGGAGACGTGATGAAGGACGGCTGGAAAGTCTTCAAGGACATTGAACACCTCACAAGATCCCAGAGGAGAAGGCTATGGTCGGCCAGGCGGTGGATTATTCACCTGTACGCTGGGACTCCCGGCCACTTTCAGATGTACCAGCTTGATGAGGGGGACACAGTTGTGGTTGAGCTGGATCTTCAACGAAATCGAGGTCATGATGTGGAAAGGACTTCTACGTGGAGGTGGTTGATGTGGGGCGCAATGCAAGGACGAATAGAAGCGATCGTGGGAGGACCCCCAGGTCGAGCGCGCCTGGGAACGGAGCGCCGAGGCGCTGTGGAATGGGACAACAAGTCCCTGAAGGCGGTCACAAAGATGATGCGGCTACATGTGGTTGCTGAAGAAGGGCGAAACCTGAACGCCCGCGGAGCAGATCGAGGACGCCCGGTGGCATTCATGATGGAGCATCCGTCACAGGATGCACGGGCGCAAGGGGCAAGGAGGAGATCCTTGTGGGAAACTTCCATGTGGGAGGCTTTCAAGGAGGAGTACGACATGACAGAGGTGAAGTTCGATCAAAGGGCTACGGGGGCCACGGGATCGTCACCTACTACCTTGGGAACCAATATCTACTACCTCCAGGGTCTACATGGAGAAGGCGAGGGTGGAAGCGACCATGAAGAGCAGCGGGACTTAAGTGGCGTATGGTCGTCTGGATTGGTGAAGGCAGTGGTGCTGGCCTTGAGTTTTTGGCGGCGACTACCAGCGACTACCCCACGATTGTGTCCTATGTCACCAGCCCAGTGGAAACGTCACGTGGACAGTAACCACCTCGACTACAACAGGGAATGCTTGACGTGTGTTTTGTCCCGTGGCACGGGACGTCGCCACGCCCGCGTCCATCACCCGGAGATGTTCTCACTGACGGTGGACATTGCAGGGCCGGTGAAGCCTGGCTTGGACGTTACTTCAAAGGGAACTCAAGGGAAGGGCCTACGCTATCTCCTGGTGGGCAAGTACACGCTTCCGAAGGAGTTCGTCAAGTCCTACAGTGGAAAGAAACCACCGGACGATGATGGGCTACTTGATCCCCTGGATGTTGAGGACACTAGTTCAAAGCCAAACCAGAGCGAGGAGCTTGAAACACCTTCTCTACTACCACCGCGTGAAGAGGGGGAGTCCGGAGCGCAAGGCGATCAGCCAGACCAGAACGAGGAGCTTGGAACACCTTCTCTACTACCACCACGTGAAGAGTGGGATCCGTTTGTTATAGAAGATGTGCCAGGTGAGCAGGGTCCTCCAACCACCGAAGATGTGCCAGGTGAGCAGGGTCAAGACGATGAGCATGATCAAGGTGTTTCGTCTACCGACTTCATCGGTGCCACTACTCAGCAAAAAGAGGGCATGAAAGACTATGAGTGTTCAGAGTACGAGCCGTCGGTAGTTGGCGAGGATATGAATGAGGCTGCGGATGATGAGTCACCAGGACACCCTAGTCAAGAAGGGCCACGAGTTTGTCGTCCGGATTGCGAAGCGCCTGAGAGCACAGTCCTTATGTTCGCAAGGGCCCTGAAGTCGAATGCGGGTGTTGATGTGAAAGCTGCAATCCAGGATATTGTCCTCTATCTCGACTCCCACGGCCTTCCTGTCTACAGGTTCCACGCTGACCGAGGCGAGTGCTTTAGCCACAACATCAGAGGATGGCTACGAGATCGTCACATCAAGGCCACATGGTCGGAGGCTGGAACACCCCCAAGGAAACGGGCGAGCAGAGGCAGCAGTACGATGGATCAAAGATCGAACAAGGACTCTGTTGCTGGGAAGCTCGCTACCTACTTCTTTGTGGCCTACGGCGGCGGAGTCAGCAGCAGCCCACCAGCGTCCCAGGGTGTTTGGGTGGAAGTCCAAGCTCATGGCCCCATATGGAGCACCGGTCTTGGTGAAAGAGAAGGCGTTTGATGCTCAAGGACCTAGACGAAGAGATCGAGCGTTTGAAACACGATGGATCCGTGGGTCCTATGTGGGACTGAGCAGCCTTTTGGAAGGGGGTCACGTTGTTTCTGTGCCAAGCGCCGAAGCAAAGAAGGGCCACTTCCTTCATACCTTCCACATCAAGGCTCGGCTCTATGATCCGGGTCCACCACTGGATGAGCTGGAGGTTCCAGAACCCCCAAAGCCGAAAAGGAAACTTCCTGTCAAGACGCCGAGTGAGCAAGTGGAGATGCGAGCAATGAGTTTGTCCCAGGAGGAGGTAGAGTTGTATGCAATTACCAAAGCACAGCTCATTATGGAAGATTGGGACCCAGAACAGGCTCGCAATTTGATCGGCGAGCTTGCGGAGGCGGAGTTCTTTGAAGAGAAAAAATTCGGGGTCTACCGGCATGGAGGTAGTGTGGGGTGGATGAAGGGACTTCCTGATTATCCAGATCTTGGAAGGTTGATGGCAAAGCTGGTGTTGCATCATTGCCCGGAGGCGACTTTTACGTCAATCATGGTTTCAACGAACTTCGACCGCGGCTACCACAAGGACACCAACAACGACAGCCTCACATGCAACTATGTGGTCCCAATCAAAGCGCCCCAGCGAGGAGGAGCACTATGGGTTGAGCTACGACCAGGTGATGTAGTGACTGGTGAGGTACTACAGCGTCAGGACCCACAGGGGCGAGTTCATTATGGACAAGTCTATGATATGAAAGAGGGCCAGCATGTGGAGTTTGACCCACGGCGTGCGCATGAAGTTCTACCATGGGTAGGGACGCGTATTAACCTGGTGGCCTACACGCCAAATAGCCTGGGAAAGCTGTCATACGAAGATGTAAAGAACCTCGAGGACCACGGTTTCCCAACACCGCTGTCACAGTTACCCGAGTACTTCGTGAGGGACCAAAAGGAGGCAAAGTGCGTGGAGAAGCTGGAGGTCCAGGAGGAGAATGCGGGCAACAGTGACGGAGACGCAAGCCTGAGCGATGATGATTGGGAAATGTTCGTCGAGGCGGAGCGCGGCAAGGTCAAAGTGGGATCATCTACGAAGGGAAGCCGGCCACAGCGTCAGCCAAGGATGAACAAGACGGAGGTCACCTACACAAAGAATGTGGAGATGATATTGTCGGACCTTTCGGAGCCCCTCAAGGTGACCTACACTGTGGATCCCAAGGAGGCGCTGCAACACCTGGATAAGTGAAAGGATGCAATTGCTAAGGAGGTAAAGGGCGTGAGCATCGCTATCCAGAGGTTGCTTCCGGGAACTCCAGAGCGTGCTACGTGGCTGCAAAAGAAAGGAGCACAGCGTCTACCAACGAAGCTGGTGTACACCATAAAGCCGAACGATGGAGCGGATCCAGCAGACAGGACAACATGGTTTCGGAGGAAAGTTCGCCTAGTAGTTTGTGGCAACATGGCAACGAGTGCCTTCTCCGACTACTACTGTGAGGCGGCCCCAACTGAAGCGGTGAGAGCAGGATTGGCAATGTCAAGGTCGCGCCGATGGCAGGTCGCCTTGATAGACGTTGTAGCGGCCTTCATCCTCACCCCGATTGGCGAGTCGGCTCGGGATCCTATCATTATAGTGTGCCCGCCAAAAGTGTTGGAGAGGTTGTCTCTGATATTGCCCCACGAACTTTGGGGACTTGTCCGAGCTCTATACGGCCTAAGGGAGGCGCCAATGCTCTGGTCGTCGTACCGGGACAGGACATTGGCCAAGATGGTGACGCCATCCGGATGGCGTTTCAAACAGGGACGCACAGTGACATGCTGGTGGATTGCCACAGACGCAGCGGGAGAGCTGAAGGCATTAATCATCATCTACGTCGACGACATACTTATTATTGGAATGGAGAATGCCGTGATGGAGGTGGCCACCCTGGTGCAAGGAGTGTGGGCAACCAGTCCGCTTACCTTTCTACGTCCAGGAAACCCTCTTCGCTTCCTAGGGATGGAGTTGACTGTTACTGATGATGAGTCGATGATATTGGTGGGTCAACAGGCCTATATCGAGGAGCTCTGTCGCAATCATGGAGTGACGAGATCAGACAAAATCCCAGTGGCAAAGGAGGCAGCAAGCTTCAGCGTCGTGGATGCCGACCTCGAGCCAGACGAGAGCGGGATTGCGCAGGCTCAGCGAATAACAGGCGAGCTGTTGTGGATTTCTCAAAAGACTCGTCCCGACCTTTCCTACGGATGCTCACTGCTGTCATCCCTTACACTTAAGGCTCCTTACAGAGCTGTGGAAGTGGGAATGAAAATGATCAGGTACCTGCAGGGCACGAAGGAGTGGAAGATGGCCTTTCAGGCGACGGACAAGATCCTCACTATGTACCCGGACGCAGCCTTCGCCCCAGAGAGCGCTAAGAGCCACACTGGTTGGATGGTGGTGTGGGGAAAGAACCCCATAGCATGGCGCTCAGCGCGCCAAAGTACGATAGCCCTATCTACGGCAGAGGCAGAACTCACCGCCATTCTGGAAGGTGCGATAGCGCTACTGGGGATAGAGTCCTTGCTGGTGGATCTCGTGGAAGAGGTCGAGGAGAAGAAGGTCGGATCAGACAGCGTGTCTGCGTTGACCATCAGCGCTGGAAACGGGTCGTGGAGGACTCGACACCTCAGACTTAAGTCGGCCTGGCTAGAGGAGATGATAGCAGCAAGAGCTATTGATGGATTTCATGTTCCTGGCTTAGTTCAACCAGCGGACTTGTTGACAAAGGCCTTAGCGGGTCAGCGCATACGAGATCTACTACATCTGTGGAGCATGGTCGGCGACGGCATCCCGCAGAAGTGTGCAGTTGTGAAGAGCAAGGCCGTGGTGTCGGAAAAGGTGCGGGTGGCGACCATATGTTGTTTGATGGTTACAATGGCTGCTGGACAATCAGAGCGCGAGCCCCGCATCTCCATAGATTGGGACATGGCAGGGATATTTATGGTCCTTCTGATGGTTTTGGGAAGTTTGGTGATTTGGGAAGGGCTGAAGTGGATCGTGGCGGAGCTTTCGCAGGAATGGCTGCCTGGAGCTTCTCAGCGGAAGCTGAGGAAACTTCGGAAGCTGAGGGATGCCACGACATTAGCGATTGAGAGGGAGTTGGAGCGCATGAGCACGGCAGGTGGCACAGAACCTACGGCGGGGCGGACCCCCGCTACGGCAGCTGGCACAGGACCTACGGCGGGGCGAACCCCTACCACGGCAGCTGACGCAGAGCTTACAGCGAGGTGGACCCCCGCTACGGCAGCAACTCCAAGGAGATCCTCAATCTTGCAGCCGTCTACCATGAGACCTACGACACCCCCAAGGCCGTCATCCGTGGGAGATAGAGAACCGCAGGAAGATGACCAAAGGAGGCAGCTGCTGCAATCCCCCACATTAAGTCAGGGAAGTGATGATGGTGCAGAAGTCCGACGGGTCTGTAATGACCTAGCAGGACTTATGAGGTGCGAAGACTTCGGGAAGCCCTGCGAATCCATGGCCTTCAGACATCCGGCCTAAAGGGCGACTTGAGTGCTCGGCTAGGCGGAGCAATGACCTCTATGTACGGTGGGACAAACCTGCCGACGATTAGACAGTATAAGTACCTCCTGTGGCTTTGGCGCCACAGAAACTTGCAGGGAAAGACGTTGCTTTCATGGTCCTGCATCGCGGACCGTCAAGCTGCTTCTCGAACTATCAACAGCTGGGATCGTTTGTAAAGAAGCCTGTCTGCTCCTCACGAAGCGACAGAGGAGGAGTGTTGATGCGGTGAGTCCCAGCCAGTTGAGAAGTTTGATGTGTGCAGTTAGCAGCTTGAGCGAACTGTCTGCATGTATGTGTGATCAAGGGAAGGCTGCGGTATGTTCCCCTTGGGTCACCATGCGAACAGTTTTTTACACGTACAGCCGGCAAGAGCTGTAGCAAAGACAACGAAGCATAGCATCTTGTACACTTAACTATGCTCAGACTTTGCAGTCACAGATTTGTGTTTAGCGGAAAAAGAGGTGTGCGCTTGCATTTGAAGTCATGGCCGCCTACAATTCGAGTGATGCAGTTTTGCATCAGCAGGTTTAGGGTTTAGGGTTTAGGGTTTCAGGGTGTCTTAAAAGGGTTCCTGGAATATGGAGTCACCTGATCTTTCGGCTTCTCGGGATGGCCTCGCTCACAAACCTCCTTGCGAAGGCCTATACACTCAGCCCAGCACAGGCACATAAGAAATTCAAGCTTTAGCCAATGTACCATCCAATTTCAAACCCCAAACCCTGACCCTTAAGTGACCCCTTAGTAGAGCCTTTTGTTGAGCCCGAACATGATTTTGGCTTTACCGGGACGCCCCCGAAAGCCTGAAGAACCTGCAACAAACTGCCGCTAACATTCCCAGCCTCAAACCGCAATGGTAGCACCCTGAGCAATAACGCTGAATGAAGATGCCTAGACCGCAGACCAGTAAGGATGCAGTCCATCCAAATACCAAAATCGCAAAACCCCTACTCTGCATACCCATGGAGCTATGCCCTGAATCTTAACACCTAGATCTTGAGTATCAAGATTTACAAAAATCCTAGAATCTCAACACCTTCGCCCGAATATGCAGTGTCCAGAGACTCCACTGCCCATCAACTAAGGAACCCACTAAGGATATCTCAGGATCACATTCAGGATCCTTCCATGATTGCATGTGCATTCCCCCTAAACCCTAAACACTAAACCCCTAAACCCCTAAACTCTAAACCCTAAACCCCTAAACCCTAAAGCCTAAACCCCAAACCCTAAACCCTAAACCCCTAAACCCTAAACCCAAATTCTCCAAGCTTCGGTCCTCTCTGGTTTGCTGGTGGTTGTTCAACCGCTTGATGCTGGCCAGAAACTTATTGAAGTCCTGCCCCGGGTACTACAAGGAAACTGTTGATGATATAAATCCTGCATTACCCAGAATAAGGAATATACCATAATTCCCATAGTTTAGGATCCTTAAGGTAATGCAGGATTTGTATCATCAACCGAAAGCAAGGATCTAACATCCGTGGACTGTATATTTTAACCTCCAGTCTTACTGTTCGGGATCTCGTGTTTGGTGGTTTATGGGCGACAATATCTTGGAGGTTGATGCCCTAAACCCTAAACCCTAAAACCCTGAACCCCTAAACCGACATGCCTCTCATCGAAAAGGAAAGGCGCGTGAAATACGCAGAGTCGGATTCGGAGCTCCATCGGCCACGTTTAGGGGTTTAGGGAGTAGGGATCATGATTTTGGGTTTAGGATTTTGGGTTTAGGGCGTTTGGGTTTAGGGTTTAGGGGTTTAGGGTTTAGGCAACAACGGATGGCCATCACCACCCGCTAGACGCGAGACTCTCGTGCAGCGCGTGAATATTGAAAATGGCCACCGCCAACGAAGCACAGCTGCAGCTGACTACTCACTGTTGCAGCATGCCACAGAAGCGTGCTAACATGCGTTGGCTGCACACCTTGCCGCCGGCATGCTAACGAACTGAACCAACCTGGCTTGCAACTATGCGCGGGCAGAATGCTTTTCAGGACAGCTCAATGTACGTCACTTCTCCAGATTGACGCACACCGTGATGTGGTGGATGGGCGTATTCGTTTTCTGCTCGGGGGTATCATATCCCCTTTGATTCTGATGAAAATAGGTACAATGCTACATTCGTACAGAACTACAATAAAACCACAAGGTTGGCTGCCCCCCTATGACAGGACACGGTATTGAAACAGATACTGAAACATTGCACCACTACACGACTGTGCGCCGATACCATGAGGCTTCATTGCAAACCATTGCGAATCGATGCTGACGACGACCACGACGAGGAGGCTGAAGATGATGCTGACTCTATACGCTAAGCTCCGATGGCGATGATAGTGATGACTGTGATGACCGTGTGAAGATAACGGTGTGGATGAGAATGACGGCCAGTAGGATGACAAAAGCGAGGAGCATGCAAACGGCTATGGTATGCAAATCGTGAAGACGACGCTCTGGACAAAAAGCAAGAACCGGATGTTAGGGCTGTGAGCATACTTGGGGGCCGTGGGGCTGCTCAACCGTGTCACCTCTGCTTGGTTGAGCTTTGTTCATGTTGCTGTTATTCGGTTGATGATATAAATCCTGCATTACCTTAAGGACCCTAAACTATGGGAATGACGGTATATTCCTATTATGGGTAATGCAGGATTTATACCATCAACAGTTCCACTATCTTCGCTGAACTCTGGCATTCTATCGCCCGGACCCAAAGGGGCACTGCACCAGAAGAACTCTACACCTTAGAAGGGGCCCCCACCCTGTAATAGTGGTATAATAGGAATATAATAGGGCCCTACTATAATCCTTATAGTCACTATTACAGGGTGGGGGCAGCTTCTAATCTACACCGGATCGTTATGCTTCGGCTTTAGGGGTTTAGGCATCTAGGGGTTTCCGGGGTTCGGGGTTTAGGGGCTTACAGGCTTGGGAGTTTAGGGTTCAGGAGTTCACGGGTTTGTGGGGCTAGGGTTTAGGGGCGACCGGGTCGAATTACAACCAAACGGGTGAAATTACAACCACACGGGGGAAAACACAACTGCATCATGCTTGTGGGCTTGCCCAAACGGGAGAAATTACAACTGGCTATTGCGGTGCCTTTCTAAGTTTGGACATTCTCGGCGCAAAACCCATGGTACAGCCTTAAGGCCTCAAGACTAGTTTTGGATAACGGTGGTTGTGATTCGCCCCTTCTCTTCGCGCCCAAGCACCGTTGGTGTCCAGGGCATGTAAGCAATACTTAACATGATTATCCCGGTTTGTATGCTTTCGGGCATGTAAAGGAGAAGGGCATGTAAGCAATACTCAACATGATTGCTTCGGTATCCCTTCGTGCATGTAAGTGAGAAAGACATGCAGGCAATACTTAACATGATTATCCGGGTTTGTATGCTTATCCAAGTGCTAAAGTCCTGTAGACATTACTTTAGTGATTATTTCGGCTTGTATGGTTTTCGGTTCTGTTAATACTACAGACCTCCAAGGAAAACCGTGATGACCAGGATCTGTTTCCACTCAACCGCCTTTGCGCTGCAAAAGAACGGTGTCGGAAATGCTCAGCACATCACGCACAGCTTGGTTCGCATACACATCTGTGGTTTCGAGCTTACCGTCGGGCAGGAAAGAACATGCCTTCAGCATATGATCCTGCACAGCAGCAGCTGGAGCACCGAAAGACTGGAAAAGCCTGGAAAGCTCCGTCCCCAAGGTTACACTAACATCTTCTACGACGATCTTGTTGACGGGATCTGTGGTTTTCAAAACTGGGTTCCCATCCGCTGAAACACTGTACAGAACACGCACGTTCAACACGGCCGCTGTCTGGGACCCTTCTGCATCTCTGTCGCTAGGCACTATCTGTGGTGCGGCATTCCATGTCGTTTTGCGACGACAACGTCGCAGGTCGTGCAACACGGGAGGCGCCGATGTTTTGTGGCCTGCTGCCTTCACAGTGGTTTCCTGACCCATTGCCTTGTTCTTGGCCTTGGCCTTGCGAAGCTGCTCGCGCAAACTGGTGATGAGGAGATCCTTGTCATCTGCTTTCAGCGGCACGGATCCGCGGCCAGGTGCCTTGGGCTTGTTACCCCGGCCGAAGGCGCCCAATGGAGTAGAGTCCAACTCATCTGGCACCTTGCATTTTCCCAAGTGCATGTTCAAGGCCAGCACGTGGAAGCACCGCTTGGCAGCTGGGAACGCCGGACATGTGCAAAAGGCCTGGTCTCCTCGAAGCCTTGGGTTCTTTATATAGAATGTTTAGACAAGCAGGCCTCACATGCGTTGTAATTAGGGTTAAGGGTTGAGGATTTAAGGTCAGCCAACCATCTTATTGTATCATAGATGGCCAAGAGACCCAAAGATGCGGTGTCCCGACCCGCCATGGAATGTAAGCAAAATCTCCACAGTGGTTTCCTGCCCGCCTTCCTGCGCCACGAAGGCACGAACAACCCGTTCAGCTTGGCGTTGACTCAGCGGTCCACGGTGGCAGACACCAGAGTCGTCCCCATCAGGGTCTTCCCCACGTGGTAGGCAGATGTAGAACCTACGGCGCCAGCTGCTCGAGTACTTCCCAAGTCCCAACCCTCGGCCCTATAAACGCCTAAAGGTCTCAAGCCCCCAAAAAAGAACGACATGGAACTTGCACCAAACCCCCAAAATCTTGACTTGCACAGGTACAAGGAGCTTTAGAGTGTCAAGAGTGACGGATCGGATCTTGTCCGTGCCAAAAAGACTTTGAAATGAGGCCGCCTTCTGCCAAAGCTGAGCGTCCACATGCCGGGGAGCCGTCGGATCAAAATGAGCCTTTGTGGCCACCTCCACTTGCTCCAGCATGAAGTTGAGCGTCTCGCCCACACTGCCGACTACGTTGCCAGCGTCCTGCCGGGTGTACTTGATGGTGCTCTCTGCAGCGTTGTTCGTGGAAGGCGCAGATGCAAGATCTGCAGCGACAGCCAAATGCCAATCACCCACTTTGTCCAGCCATTGCCGAAAGAAGCTGCTCACCCAGTTGTAGTTGCGACCAAGCTTGTCCTTCCACGCAGTCTTGCCTTCCAAACCATCTTGACACCACTTCGCCTTGACCGCATTGGCCCTAGAAACGAAATCCTCCTGAGATTGTGCCTGTCTCATGAGGTCAATGTGCAGGCTGATCTCCGACCATGCCACTTCTTTCTCATCTTTGCTGCCTGCGACAAGTGTACACTATGCTGAGCGTCCTCAGAAACCTTGCTCGATCCCAGTAATCCGAAAGACCGAAACCGCTAACACCTCGCAACGAAAGTCTTATAGGGTTTCGGGATGTTTAGGGCTTAGGGTTCAGGGTTTCAGGCTTGGGGTTTGGGTTGGCTCGCCTTTGAAGCGCTTGTAAAAGCTGTCTCGTGCTGCGTGCTTGACATGGAAGTAGCACATGAGATTCGTGGCATCAAAAGCTGACTTGAGCGCAGAACGGTAGGCTGGCTCCGCATCACTCATCGAAAAGGGTGCCGACACTTTGCTCTGCGCAAGTCTCGCAGTTGACTGAGCAAATGCTGTCAGTGTGGACACCATCCGTTCGGATTCCATGTCCGACGTCAAGGCAAGGGCGCAGAGCCCGAACTCCCCAGCGGGGTTCAAGCAACCCAGCACTGTCAAGGGCCAGCCCAGCAGATTGAATTTGAACCCGCCATCAGCTGCCACGACACACCCTGCAGCACAAGCTCGAGCAAAGCGGCGCTGCAATGCCGGAGTGGTTGCAAGGATGCTGATCTCGGACTTGGGGCCCTTCCTGACGATGCTGCTGTGGCACCAGTAAGCCTGCGATTCTACTTCGGGAAGCTTGTCGCACTGCTGGACTGCTCGGCGCAAGTCTCCGACTGTGCGTCTTCCATACCATGAAGCACAGAGCCCCTTGCGCAAGTTCTGCACTTGCTTCAGCTGCGCCTTCTGCACGGGTTGTTGTTTGTTCGTACGCCCTGACCTCAAGGCCAAACGCGGCCGCGAAGTGGCTTTCTGCGCAAGAGCCGCCTCCAGCACCTTCCGCTCTGCAAGGCTTTCGAAACCACGTGTCCCAGTTGTCTTTGCACCAGCTATGTGAGATCTCCAAAGCGATGCATGCTGGTAGAGCTCTGCTGTCCCATCCGCCTGTTCCTTCAACACTGCCCTCCACGTGCAAGGTGGTGTACTCTGAGCCAGCCTGCACGCCAGAAAAGTAATCTTGCCATCCTTCTTGATGGCACGACCACAGTGTGAGCGACAGTGCTTTCCTGAGCCCAGGTCTTGTAAACCCGCAGATCTGCTGGCATAGCTGCCTACAAAGCTATCATACAATGCCGCTTGGAAGGAACCTGGTGCAGCTGCTCGCCCTGCTGGGCGTTTCATGGCAGCTATTTCTGATGAACCTGTAGCCCGAAAAGGTCACAGCGAAGTTGTCAAGGAATCCTTTGGCATCCCACCTTCAAAATCCGACTCCCGAGCCACTCAACAAAACCCAAAACATCCCCAAAACCCTTAGCCCCTTTACATCTACTCAAATAAAGCCTCAAAGACCCTTTACATCTACTCAAAAAAAGCCTCAAAGACCCTTTACATCTACTCAAAAAAAGCCTCAAAGACCCTTTACATCTACTCAAATATAGCCTCAAAGACCCTTTACATCTACTCAAATAAAGCCTCAAAGACCCTTAAAGCCTCAAAGACCCTTTACATCTACTCAAATAAAGCCTCAAAGACCCTTTACATCTACTCAAATAAAGCCTCAAAGACCCTTTACATCTACTCAAATAAAGCCTCAAAGACCCTTTACATCTACTCAAATAAAGCCTCAAAGACCCTTTACATCTACTCAAATAATCAATAAAGCCTCAAAGACCCTTTACATCTACTCAAACAAAGCCTCAAAGACACCAGTTGTATTATGACCCATCTGGTTGTATTTTCCCCTATCTGAACCAATTTTTAAAGATTTCAGTTGTATTATTACCCATCTGGTTGTATTTTCACCCATCTAGTTGTATTTCGCCTTATTCTCGGGTTTAGGGTTTAGGGTTCAGGGTTTAGGGTTTAAGTTCAGGGATTTAGGGATGAGGCTACTAGGGGTTTAGAGTTTCCGTCAGACTTGAAGGTTCAGGGGCAATTACGTACCTTACTCGGGAGTACTGTAGTACCCAGACCTTCCAAAATCCCTTAATTAAGGAATATCCCTTAAATTTTAGTAGGATCCTTAATATGATTTAAGGTATATTCCTTAATTAAGGGATTTTGGAAGGTCTGAGTAATCACTGTGGGTTTTGGTTTTTCTTTTGCACCGGAGGGCTTAGGTTTCAGGCTTCAGGTTGTAGGGTCCAACAAACGCGGTCTCAAACCCTAAACCCTGAACCCGATATCCTGAACCCTACACCCGAAACCCTAAGCCCTAAACCCTAAGCCCTATATCCTGAACCCTAAACCCGAAACCTACAAATATCCAAAATCCCAATGGATAGTTGTCAAAATTAAGGTCCCTTTCTGGGGGTACCCTAAATAATAGGTGCCGTGTTATAATAGGGACCCAAAAAAAGATCCCTAAACCCTAAACCCAAAAAAAGATCCCTAAACCCTAAGCCCCAAAGAAAGATCCCATGTTTGAAAACCACCCTAGGCCAGGCTAAAGCACCAGTCAGACCGACTGGAAGTCTCCGGCTTGAAAAGCCACTAGCCACCACGGCTTACTTAAAGGATCCTTATTAGGGGGTCCTTAAAGGGGTCTATAGGGGGGTCCTTAAAGGGATCTATAAGGCTCCTTACTTAAAGGGATCTATAGGGCTCCTTAGAGGGATCTAGTATAGGATTCCTTATAATTATAATGGGATCTATAGGGGTTTAGGGTTTGGGGTCTACTTAGAGGATCATGGGACTTAGTAACGGGGGTTATAATTAAGGTAACTGTACCTACGACTACTTGTGTCCCCACTTAGGGTACTTATAACCAAACTTACTAAGTCGCATGATCCTCCAAGTATGCCCAGACCAACAAACGGAATGTCAGAGGCGCGCAGCGGAATCATGTTTTGGCTCCACTGCACAACACAGTGAAATCTGCGACAAAAAAGCCTTTAGCAATGTCTGTGAGTGCGAATTTACAACTGTTGTCACTGTGGCCATTGTAAGCTGACACCGTATACAGTTACCTTAATTATAACCCTAGTAACTAAGTCCCATGATCCTCTAAGTAGATCCCAAACCCTAAACCCCTATAGATCCCATTATAAGGAATCCTATAGTAGATCCCTTTAAGGAGCCCTATAGATCCCTTTGAGGACCCCCTAAAGACGCATGACTCAGGGCTTTCCTTCGTAGGCCGCCTTGAATGATCGGTGGTGGCGTACAAGCTTTACATGCAGCCTTGACCGTGCCTTGAATCTTCCGCAAAACCCTAAACCGCAAATCCTAAACCCCAAATCCTAAACCCCAAATCCTAAACTCTAAATCCTAAACCCCAAATCCTAAACCCCAAATCCTAAACCCTAAACCCCAAATCCTAAACCCCAAATCCTAAACCCCAAATCCTAAACCCTAAACCCTGAATCCTAAACCCTAAACCCCAAACCCCAAACCCTAAACCCTAAATCCTTAACCCTCAACTCTTCTAGAAAAGCTGATCATCCCTCGCAGAAACCTCAAAGAAAGTGGAGCCATGGAGACGAAACCACAAACCCTGGGTCCTTGTTACTTAGAGGATCATGGGACTTAGTAGAAAGGGCTCCTTAAAGGGCTCCTTAAAGGGATCTCCAGGGTTTAGGGTTTAGGGTCTACTTAGAGGATCATGGGACTTAGTAAGTAGGTTATAATTGGGGTTATAAGTCCCCTAAGTGGGGTTATCCTAATTATAACCTACTTATAACCTTACTTACTAAGTCCCATGAGCCTTTAAGTAAGGAACGTAATTCAAGCTATCATACTTCAGGGCTCCTTTAGGGGATCTATAAGGGTTCCTTAAAGGGATCTACAAGGGTTCCTTTACCTTCAAGGGTTCCTTAAAGGGATCTATAAGGGTTCCTTAAAAAGGGATCTATAAGGGTTCCTCAAAGGGATCTTTCAGGGATCCTTTAAGGGAAGGAAACCAAATTATTTACTGTAGAACCCTATTTTGGTAGCTTAAATTAAATGCCTTGCACAGAACGCAGTAAAGCTTCAGCTACGATCGATGTCGATGTTCCTGCACGCTGTGTGTCACAAGAGCTTAGGATTCTGGAATTCGGATTCAAAATTTAGGATTTGGGCTCAACATACAGAGCTTGGGATACAGAGTGTCAAAGTCTAGGTCGTAATTGATATCGAATCGAAGCCGCTACAGACATGTTTACCAGGGCCCGTTTGAAAACCCTTAAACACTCGTTCGAGATTAATGCTTCCAAACTCTTGTGAGGAGCCCGCATTCCTTTCCAAAATGCAGCCGTAATGTCTTAAACCGCCAAGCGCTAAGACCGAATGACCGGGCCCACCCCCAGAACCCTAAAGCCCTGAAGCCCCAAAACCTCATGGTGTAGGGTTTAAGCCTTTTGGGCTCAGGGTTTGGAAGCCCATCGGATGAAGCCTCTGAAAACCCTGCAAAACAATTCTGAACCCTTCTCAGCAACTGCTCAGACCGCCACAAAACCTGTAAAACCGTGTAGAAAACCCTAGCGAAAACCCAAGAGATTGCCTTGAGAAAACACAGAGATGTGGCTATACTTACACAGAAACTCAAACCTATAGTCAATACCACATATTCATGCTTATACTTATATTGGCACTCACATGGAAAGCCATATCTGCGCTATGTTTATGCTTACTAGACATGCTTGCATTCATTACTACACAACCCTGAACCCTAAACCCTCAACCCGGAATACTAACCTCTCAACCCTCAAACCCTCCCTCAGGAAGGGGCCTTAATAGTTAGAATAGGGTTTTCGGGCCCATTATATTGTAATTATCCTAAGGAACCCCCCCCCCAACAAATAGTATGTAATTATCCTAAGGACCCCCCCGCAACAAATAGTATTGGTAATTATGAAGGCCCCAAAAGAAGTGGCCCCCGAACCCCCGAGAAGACCCCAAGCCCACGGCGCCTCAATCGGCAGCTTCGACCGAGCCAGTCTCGCGACAAAGGTGGGGGGAGGGGCCCAAGGGAAGACCGAAAGGGAAGACCAAAGGGCTTCGGGTTCAAGGTTTAGGGTTTAAGGTTTTAGGGTTTTTGGGTTTTTTTTGAGCACCTTTTTCCATCTGCAGATCCAGCTACGTCCGGAAGCCTCATCTAGGAGGCAAGTTTTGATGGCGTCACTTGATTGTGACTCCATGCTGTTGACAGACAAAACAACCCTCAGAGATCCATGTGTCAGGTACTAAAGGTACATCAAGACCAAGGTTACACACCATTCGTCACCATCTCCCTGACCTTGTACCCTTCACTCTTCATCCGATTCGCCCAAGCCATCAAAAGCACGATCCCACATTTCTTCCGAAGCCGTCCTGACAGCCCTGTGCTCGGTCTCTTCCGTTTCGTAGAGCACGGTCTCTGCCACCTCGTTGGGCTCCACCATGGTGTCTTCCGAGTCAAGTAGCCGCTGTGCTTGCATGAGATGCAACAGGTTCGCCCCTCCTCGACTCACCACCTCCCCATCCGTGATTTCTCCAGCTTTCCATGATGCATGCAAGCGCTCGTCGTCTTTGAACTGGAGGTCGCTGAGGGTGCCATCCTCGTGGTCCGCGTGGTTGTCCAAGGCCATGCTCCCTTCCGGCTCCAAAGGAACCGTACTCATCTCATCCATTCCCCTCTTTCTCTTCAGTGGCGCCGGTTCCCCGATGTTTTCGGAGTTCACCTCATGGTTGTTCTCAGGCATCTTTTCCTTCTGACTTGTCGAGAGCCGGACTGTCTCCACGTCATCCGGACATTGCTCGTGTTCCACAGACAACCCCAGGCGGAGTGCAGCGTTGGCTTGCCCGATTGAGGCAAGGGGATGCGAAGTGCACGGGAGATCCAGCCACCCTCCTCGGTCACCTGCCCACTCATCGTCACCTGAAAAAAGCTGCGCATGCGTTTGGACCCCGCATCGGCCATTATCGTCGCCCACTCCCAGTCCTCCCACTCTTTGAACTCGGCAGCACTCAGACGCCTTTCAGCATGTACCACGTGGTCTGGGGCGTCAAGGAGGTTCTCTTGGTACTTGTGGAACTCGGCTTCTTCCCGTTCGTGTGCTTCAAGTTCCCGACGGGTCTCCACTCCGGACTCGTGGGAATAGGCAGTCCCACCATCGCAGCTGCCAGTTCTTGATTTTGTATTTTCTTTCTCTTCGTGGTTCAGGCCATCACGAAGTTGATCCACTAGTCAAGCTCGACCCTCGGCCTAGCCTAGAAATTTT